GGTTTTCCATTCAGAAACACTGAGGCCCCAGATTATCTGGCAGTGGAGACTCATATAATCCAGTTTAAATCACATAATTTGGGATCAGATCCTGGGATATAGGGGCAGTATGGAAGGGGGCTGGGTCACCTTGGGCAAGTAACACTGTCTCAGCTTCTGCGGAAGGCAATTTATTTATTTATCGTGTCAGGAGCAAGTCAAACAGTTGTATTGCATTTTTAACAAATAAAAAAAACACAAAGTTTGCAAGCTTGGTAGTTGATTAAATGTCCTTTGACCAGTAGCTGGCCACTTGGAGTGCTTCTGGTGTTGCTGCAAGAAGGTCCTCCATTGTGAATGTAGCAGGGCTCAGGTTGCATCACTGCAGGTGGTCTGTGGTTTGCTCTTCTCCACACTCGCATGTCGTGGATTCCACTTTGTGGCCCCATTTCTTAAGGTTGGCTCTGCATCTCGTGGTGCAGAGCGCAGTCTGTTCCGCGCCTTCCAAGTCGCCCAGTTTTCTGTGTGTCCAGGGGGGTGTCTCTCATTTGGTATCAGCCATTGATTGAGGTTCTGGGTTTGAGCCTGCCACTTTTGGACTCTCGCTTGCTGAGGTGTTCCAGCGAGTGTCCCTGTAGATCTTAGAAAACTATTTCTTGATTTAAGTTATTGACGTGCTGGCTGATACCCAAACAGGGGATGAGCTGGAGTCGTCACTCCCTTGGTCCTTTCACTGTTGGCTGCTACTTCCCAGCGGATGTCAGGTGGTGCAATACCAGTGTAATTTCTCCAGTGGTGTAGGGTGCAGACACCCCGTGATAATGCGGCATCAGGGGCGGCTCAACCTATTACGCAAAGTAAGCATTTGCAGTATAGTTGATTTTGCCCAGGGGCGCTCTTGAGGCGCTCTTGGGGGAAAATAGACCATGACATATGCGAGTTGTCGTTACTGGGATGTATAGCTCACCTACAATCAAAGAGCATTCTGAACTCCATCAATGATGGATTGAACCAAATATGGCACACAGAACTCCCACGACAAACAGAAAATATATATCAGTGATTGGTTGGGGGGGAGGGGCGCCAAAATACTGTTTGCTTACCGTTAAAAATTACCTAGGGCCGCCTCTGTGCGGCATGTCTCATTAAGAGCCACATCTACCTGGAATGATTTCATCAGCGCTGCCTCCGGAAAATCCTGCAAATCTCTTGGGAAGACAGGCGGACAAACGTCAGCATGCTGGAAGAAGCAAAGACCACCAGCATTGAAGCGATGGTTCTCTGCCATCAACTCCGCTGGGCCAGCCATGTTGTCCGGATGCCTGACCACCGTCTCCCAAAGCAGTTGCTCTACTCCGAACTCAAGAACGGAAATGGAATGTTGGTGGGCAGGAAAAGACTCAAACCCAACCTTAAAAACTCTGGCATAGACACTGAGAACTGGGAAGCCCTGGCCCTTGAGCGCTCCAGCTGGAGGTCAGCTGTGACCAGCAGTGCTGCAGAATTCGAGGAGGCACGAGTGGAGGGTGAAAGAGAGAAATGTGCCAAGAGGAAGGCGCATCAAGCCAACCCCGACCGGGACCGCCTTCCACCTGGAAACCAATGCCCTCACTGCGGAAGAAGATGCAGAGCAAGAATAGGGCTTCACAGCCACATACGGACCCACAAGGAAACACATAATGGAAGACCATCTTACTCGTCCAATGAGGGATCGCCTAAGTAAAAGTAAGTAAGTAAGTACTGTATTGTCGAAGGCTTTCATGGCCGGAATCACTCAGTTCTTGTGGGTTTTTTCGGGCTATATGGCCATGTTCTAGAGGCATTTCTCCTGACGTTTCGCCTGCATCTATGGCAAGCTTCCTCAGAGGTGGACCTCACCTCTGAGGAAGCTTGCCATAGATGCAGGCGAAACGTCAGGAGAAATGCCTCTAGAACATGGCCATATAGCCCGAAAAAACCCACAAGAACTAAGTAAGTACTGTTTTAGTGCGGTGAGATGTGATCCAAACTGGGCAATGACAAACCCCTTCTGAACAAATCTTGCCAAGAAAACCCAATGGCAGAATCGCTATAACTTGGAAACAACCTGAAGGCACACAGCAACAACAAAACATTGCATCCAAACATTCTTACTTTGAAAGCTTTCCATTGGGAATTATATGATTCTAAGCATAATCCTCAAGAAAGAAACCCACTTGGAAAGAATCCTATTGACTTCTGAGTGAAAGTGGTTAGGGCTGGGTGCTGATTTTCACCTCCTTCACTTGGATCTTTACCCCAAAAAAAGTCACCAATAAAAGTGTTGCTAAATTGCTCAAAAGTAATTAATCCTAATCCAATTCCACCAAGTGGTTTGGGCAGCCACTCCCTCCCTCCTTCTGATTGGTGCAGTTGGCTCCATTAAGTCTTCTCCACCCCTCCAAACTGGCAAATGAGTGCAAGAGCCAAAAAAGGAAAGTTGTGAACGGTAAGACTTAAAGTACAAAGTTTTGCTTTTTAAGTAGGAGTGGAAAGCATAGGTGAGAGTGAAGAAGTCATTTGTGCCTGTGAACCAAAAAAGGAGAAAAAGTTTGCTAACATTTCAATTAGTCTTGCTGTTATCCTATCACTATCCAATACATGCTTTATTCTCTGTTTTTTCATAGTGTGTTTGGTATCTATAGACCATGGCATTTGTGGAAACTGTGTTGCCCTCGGTTGGTATACTGGCGGGGTTTAACCACTTCCAAGAAGTCCAGTCTGAAATCACAGAGGTGAGAAGTGTATGTGTCATGTTTGCTAAATATGTATGTCATGTGTTTGCTTGGATACAGCCAAGACTTCCCTTTGGGTAGAAGTGTCAATGGGTCTTTTAAGAAATTACACTATGTTATTTCTTGTTTAATTGTTTGGTACTTACTTTGAAAGTAGTTGTTATACTTCAGAAACTTTGTTTTTGTGGCAGCCACAAACTATGTTGAATGGGTTGAGACTCTGTGAGATATTCATTGAAAAACTACAGCAAAATGTACTAAAAATGTCCCGCAGAAAAACAAAGTTTTTGCAATTTAATCAATTTTTCCATGCTTTTTTATGATAGAACCAATTAGGAAATGACATTTATAACCCAGGAACAAAAAATCGTGTTACACAGTGTTATTATCTATCTGAGCATACTACTTAGCACAACAAGGTGTCTTTTCTCAGCAGGTGAAACCTTTCCTAAACTAGTAAACATTGCTGAAAGGAAGGAGACAGCAGATGGGAGGAAGAAAGGGTGATTATTGGGTCTGTTGAGAGGTTTTTTTAAAAAATGAGTGCATAGTATTCTTGTATTTTCTGAAATCATTCTGGCAAAATGAGGCACATGAATTTAAGAACTTTATTCCTGTAACTATACGTGCATCTACACTGTAGAACAGGCACGAGCAAACTTTCTAACTTGGGGCTGCATGCTAGCATTCCCTGCTAGGAGGATTGGCTGCTTGGTGATGGAAGGAAGGAAGAGAAGAAGGGAGGAAAGAGAGAAGGAAGGATGAAAGGGAGGAAGAGAAGGATAGAAGGAGAAAGGGAGGGAGGAAAGAGGGAGGGAAGGAAAGACAAAAGTGAAGGAAGAAGGATGAAACAGTGGGAGGTAGGGAAGGAGGGAGGAAAAAGAGATGGAAGGAAAAAAGGAATGAAGGGAAGGATAAAGGAAAGAGAAAGAAAGAGACAAAGGGGAAGGAGGGAGGGAAGGAAGGAGAAATAGGGAGAGAGGGAGGAAAGAGGGAGGGAAGGAAGGAAAGGCAAGGATGGAAGGAGAAAGAGGGAGGGGAAGGAGGAAGGAAAGAGAGAAGGAAGGAAAGGCAAAACCTTAGGGTGCATCTAAGTTGTAGAATCAATGCCTTTTGATGCTACTTTAGCTGTCAAGGCTCAATGCTGTAGAATGGAATCTATAGTTTTACAAGGTTGTTAGCCTTCCCTGCCAAAGAGGGCTCTGCCTCACCAAACCAGAACTCCCAAGATTCCATAGCATTGAGCTATGGCAGTTTAAGCGGTGTCACATTGCATTCATTTTACGGTGTGTAGATTGAAGGTTTTCAAATTGTGAACTGCAACACATTAGTGTGTCGGTGTAACTCAAACAATGAGAAACATCTGAATGTGTGAAATAAGCAATATAGTTTCAAAAATATAAATGAAAGCTTTTCATGAGTTATACAACTTATGTATATGTCTGTCACTTATAAGGGGCGGTTTAACCTCTGGTTTGCTAATAAAACTGAATTACTGTGTCACACAATTATGCATGTTTAAAAAGTGTGTCACCAATATGAAATGAGTGGAAAGCTCTGGTCTAGACTCACTTCTGGCCTCTGGAGTCATAGTCCAATGCTTATTACATTACGCTGGCTCCTTGTTTTAAATAAGTCAGGCTGTTTTTATTATACTTCACTTTTAAATCTTTACATATTTACATAGATAGGATATAGATAAGTAGGTAGATATAGTTTTGTTTAATTTATTCCCCCCTAAAATGGCACTGCCTCTTAATATTTAATATCATGCAATAGAATTGGAAGAGACCACATGGGCCATCCAGTCCAACACCCTGCCATGCAGGAAAATATCTAACCAAATTGTCTATCACATTGGTTCAGTTCATGTTAACATGTACTAACCAGGGCTGGCCCTGTTTAGCTTCCAAAATCAGTCGGGATCTGATGCATTTAGAGTCTCCTCCTCTGGAGGTTTTTGAACTGAGACTGGATGGCCATCCATCAGGAGGGCTTTGACTATGCCTTCCTGCCAGGCAGCCTTTCTTTGTGGGGATGAGTGGGGCATTTTTCATGCTACGCACCATTTTGAAAGCTCTGTACTACTGTAGCATGAATGCAGTTTAGCATGAATGCAGTTTGACACCACTTCAACTGCCGTGGCTCAATATGATAGAATACTGGCATTTGTAATATGGTGAGACAGCAGCACTCATTGGCAGGGAACGCTTGTAAAACTCTCATTATGCCATAGCGTTGAGCAGTAGCTATTACTACCTCCATTCTACAGCAGGTATGGGTAAACCCAGGCCCGGGGGCTGGATGTGGCCCCTTGAGCTCTTTTCTCAGCCCCTCCTCTCCCTCACCATCCTATCCTTCCTTCTCTTTTTCCTTCCTCCTTCCCTCCTCCTCCCTCTTTCTCCTTTTGTCTTTTCTTCCTTCTCTCTTTCCTTTCTCCTTACCTCCTTCCTCTTTCTCCTTCCATCCTTCCCTTTCATTCTACCTTCCCTTTCCTCCCTTTCTCATTCCTCCCCTTTTGTCTTTCTTTTTTTCTCTTTCCTTTATTCTTCCCTCCATCCCTTTCTTCCTTCCATCTCTTTTTCCTTCCTCCTTCCCTCCCTTCATTCCACTGTTTCATCCTTCCTTGCCTTTTGTCTTTCCTTCCTTTCCTCTTTCCTCCCTCCTTCCCTCTGTCTCTCTTTCTCCTTCTATCTATCTCTTCCTCCCTTTCATCCTTCATTCTCTTTCCTTCCTCCTTCATCTTCCTTCCTTCTTCTCTTCCCCCTTTCCTCCTTCCCTCCTTTCCTTTCCTTCCTTCTCTCTTTCCTTCCTCCTCCCCTCCCTCTTCTCCTTCTCCTTCCCTTCCTTCCTTCCCTCCCTCTTTTTTCCCCCCTTTTTTCCTTTCCCTTCTTTTTTTTTTTTTCTTTCTTTTTTTTTTTTTGTTTTTTCTCCCCCTTGTTCTCCCCCCCCCCCTTTCTTCTGTTCTCACAATCACATTACTTGTTTTGCCTTTTGTCCTTTCTTTGTTTTCCCTTCTTCTTTCCTCCTTCCATCCTTGCCTTTCCTTCCTTCCCTCCCTCTTTCCTCCCTCTCTCCCTCTTTCTCCTTCCTTCCTTCCCTCCTTCCCCTTTGTCTCTTTCTTTCTCTTTCCTTTATCCTTCCCTTCATTCCTTTTTTCCTTCCATCTCTTTTTCCTCCCTCCTTCCCTCCCTCCCACTGTTTCATCCTTCTTCCTTCACTTTTGTCTTTCCCTCTTTCCTCCCTCCCTTTCTCCTTCTATCCTGCCATGAAACCCATTGGGTGATCTTGGGTAAATCACATTCTCTCAGCCTCGGAGAAAGGTAATGGCAAGCTTCTTTGGAAAAGATCTTGCCAAGAAATCCCTGTGATGGGCTCAACTAAAAAATGTCATTGGTTGGAAATGGAGATACAGCACTACATCAACATCACAGGCACAATTCCTCTACCAACTGTTTTGCACTATTAAACATTTCATCAGCTTTTTTATCATGTCAGAAGCAAATGGAGAATATACTGGAAGTTGGTTCTGGTGTGAGAGAATCGCCCATCTACAGAGATCTTGCCCGGGGACACTCAGATGTGTTATCAACCTGTGGGAGGGCTTCTTTCATGTCCTTGCATGGGAAGCTGGGGCTGACAGATGGGAGCTCACCTTGTCCCGCGGATCCGAACCACCGACCTTCAGGTCAGGAGTTCAGCCAGCACAAGAGTTTAACCCATCACACCACCACAGCTCAATGTTGTTATCATTGTTGTTATCATGTAGGCCGCTATGATAACAAACAATACAACAAACAATACAAATGATCTCAAAAGGGTAAAACATATTAAACCAATTAACAAATTAAACTGATTAAATTAGTTTAAATAGTTTTTAATTATTTAAGACCATGTGTATGGGAAGGTTTGTAGAAAATAGCCCCAGAAAACATTAAGAGATTAACATGTTTTCACCCGGTTCCAGAATGATGGCAAAACTGAATTCAGTCAGACTTCAAGACTTGAGTTTCCATCTATGTTTCACTTCAATTTCTGTTCTGTTCACCACCCTGCCTTATATTGGTTGTTTAATTAATTGTTATAGTTTTACTGCCAGGGAATGAAAAAAGTATTTGTGGGATTTCTGCCCCAGATCTCAAAATTTGCTTTCAGACTTAACAGCTGGAGCAGTGGTTTTCAACCTGGGGTCCCCAGATGTTTTTGCCCTTCAACTCCCAGAAATCCTAACAGCTGGTAAACTGGCTGGGATTTCTGGGAGTTGTAGGCCAAAAATATCTGGGGACCCCAGGTTGAGAACCACTGAGCTGGAGAAAAGGCATCAACAAAGTGCAGATTTGCTTTGATGATTAAATGTCTTGCCTGTGCTCTCCACACATAGTAAACAACATGAATGCCTTTGAGTTGTTTATTATGGCAACCCTATTATAGACTTAGCCTGGAGTAGTGATTACATCTGTATCCAAGAATGCAAAAGTCCATTTACACCAGAAAGCAGGAAGGAGCAGAGATATATTTGAAACAGCACGTGGGTAAATTTATTTTGGACTGCAACTCCCAGAATTCCTCAACCAGCACAGCCTGGTTGTCCTGGAGTTGTAGTTTTTGTTCAGGAGATTTGGCATTGTGGTCCAGAATTGTAACTTTTCCAAGACTGCTTCAGGAAATACAAATGTCATCAATGAATGGTGTTTCTCCTGCCTCGAAAGACTTTCACACTGTCTGGTGCGATAATAAGGTCCTGCCTATCTCAGATGCAGAATGGAAGCTTATGTAAGGTGCTGATAAGGGGCTCCTTATCTGCACCTTAATGGCAGGCTCTAGGCTAAGTCTTTGGAGCCTCTGGAGTGTGTTTGTGTACAAGTTAGGTATAACTTCCCCCTGTTTCTTAAGTTCACTGAGGATTTTCAGAAGCAGTGCTGAAGCCAGTTTTGGCTTTTCAGTTTCTAATTGTGATGCACCACATTGGTGCCAACTTTAATACACTCTCCTTTTTTCATTTATATTCTAGTGGTGGGAAATGAAGGATTCTCCAGACGCTTCACCTCTGGGGTTCTTGGGGGTGACCCAACCTGAAGGAGTTCAGCAAATCAAGCAAGAGTGTGACGACAGCTGTTGGGACCTTGATGTCCTCCTGAGAAGCTTCTGTCCCTCCGAGCAAGATGCCAGTGCTGATCATGGGGATCAAGAAGAACAACCTTCAGTGTCAGAACAATCTTCAGTGTCTGCTCTCTGCCCAAAAGCACTTACTCAGGAGAAGAAGGAGGAGATTAAACAGTGGTTCCCAGAGGGCAGCCGGACTCTGGATGCTCCCAGAGCCCCAAACTTGGATAGCAAACATTTACCAGGAGAGAACTCTGTGGACTATATTCCTAACACACATAACTCTGCTCTGGAAATGGTGGATCCGAGTAAATGCTGTAGTCAGATGCAGCAGTTCCTTGCCCAGACTGACTATTGGGCTACTGCTCCCATGGAACATCAGTATCATGGGGAGCCAAAGTACAGAGCCCATGGGCAATATTACCAGATGACCTACGAAGCTTATGTACATCCTGCCCACGCTCTGATGGGCAAACAAGCCTCTTACAATCACCTACCACCTATAGTATCCCAGCCACAGAACTATGGCCTATTAAATGGCTACCATCCTTTCTACTATAGCCAGTGCCAAGCCCGAGTCCAACTATACCAAGCTGAGCAGGCACTGCCTCCTTTGCCCATTTTGGGCCTCTTGACACCTCCCTTGCCTGCCAAGGAATCGGCATCAAAAACTAAGAAGGGGCCCAAGTCTTGGCCACGCAAACGGCTTGTCAGCCACACCTGTAGTTATCCCAGCTGTGGCAAGACATACACCAAGAGCTCCCATCTAAAGGCTCATCTGCGCACTCACACAGGTAAAGAAAACAATAACTCCAGCAGAAGTTGGAGAAATTGCTTTTGACCCACAGTTTCCAGAACCCCCGTGCTAATAGCGGGGATGAAAGTTGATATGCAAAAAAAAAAATTGACTATGTTGCCATCCCTTTACTACTCCTTAAAGAACATTGTATTCAAGGGATTGTGCTAGAGTTTATTACCTTTGGTAATGCTTTCCACCAGTACTTTGGTACATGTCCTCAGTCTGCCATGCCCAATACTAAAATGTGAGATGTTGCATTGTGCAGTGAAAACTTGTAAAAGTTTATTGTCGAAGGCTTTCATGGCCGGAATCACTGGGTTGTTGTAGGTTTTTTTGGGGCTATATGGCCATGTTCTAGAGGCATTCTCTCCTGACGTTTCACCTGCATCTATGGCAAGCATCCTCAGAGGTAGTGAGGTCTGTACCAGTATTAAAAAACTCTAAAATTACAACAGCAAAACAACAGAGAGGAAACAAACAAGGACATCTAATCACCTCTCAACAAAAGATTGCCCCAGGCACTGCCAGGCCATCAAATGCTAATCAAGGTGGTCAGTTGAAACATTCACACCTAGCTCCAGCAGACAAGAATTCTTTGTCCCACCCTGGTCATTCCACAGATATATAAACCCTTTTTCCTAGTTCCAACAGACCTCACTACCTCTGAAGATGCTTGCCATAGATGCAGGTGAAATGTCAGGAGAGAATGCCTCTAGAACATGGCCATATAGCCCGAAAAAACCTACAACAACCTTGTAAAAGTTTCTTTTTGGGACCAATGATTCTAAGAGCCCACTTAATGTAGTTCCAAGCTACCTTCAAGATAGACTACAAACACAGTGAAACACAAAAGAAAACCCTTAATGCACATATGTGGTCTGTTGTTTGTGTAATCATCCGGGTTTCAAACTAGTTCCAGGATTTACTGTATAACCATGTGTATAGCGAAACCACTTTCTTCAACGCTGATTTGAAACTGACTTAAGTGGTCAGTGTAGATGTGCCTCGAGTTGCCCCAGCCAGCATGATCCTGTCTGAAAGATTCTGGAAATTATAATCCCTCTTAAAAGATAACCTATTTTCTCAAGCTCCAGTTGTGATCTGGGCTCATTGGCAAAGCTGGGATTAGAAGAATCCTATATATTGAGTTCTTATATTGTGTTTCCTTTCAAAGAATCACAACCACAAGCATGGTTCCCTAGGAGACTCCCCACCCTGGTAATTACATGATACAATTATACTTGTTAGGTTTTTGTCTGCTTGTTTTTGCAGGTGAGAAGCCCTATCAGTGCACATGGGAAGGATGTACTTGGAAATTTGCCCGCTCAGACGAGTTGACCCGCCATTATCGCAAACACACTGGGCAGCGCCCGTTCAAGTGTCACCTCTGCCAGCGTGCTTTCTCTCGCTCAGACCACCTTTCCTTGCATTTGAAGAGACACACATAAGTGACCTGGAAACTATGAACTGACTATTCTAAGTAAAGAGCAAGCTCCAGAGAGTAGGAAATGGAGGGTGGAGGTGAAAGTAGTGGGAATACAAAGATTCCTTTTCTTCTGGCCTCTTGTATATGGACGAAGGGTGAGTGAAATGGCAGAAATCCATTCTGTTTTCATTTCGAATTCTGAGAGGTTAGGAGGGGAGTTGTTTGGATTAGTATTTCAGGTTCTGGAGTTCCGTTTCCATTTTGGGAAGAATCTTCCTGATGACAGAAGGGGGGCAGACAACTGAAATTTGAAACAAAAACAAAATGGATTTCTGCCATTTTGCTTCCTCCTAACTTATGAACCAATTTCCCAGACATAAGGCATGGCTTCCACGTCAGCACTGGTATCTGAATTGATATTAGACATGAGATTCCCTTCCTGAAGGATGTTAGCATCCTAAATGTGCATCCATATTCTTTATTGTACCCTTATTTTTTTAAAAAAAATATCAAAATGCATTATGATGCTTCAAACAAAAAATTGAACATCAGGTCCTTATCTCCTTTATGACTTATTTCTGGTTGATTCGTCGTTCTTAGAGTTCTTTATATTTTTATTTTTCTGTTGATGTCATCTAGGCAGTCCACTTACTTCGGTACCTTCAACACTTTGCTGTAGGTGTAACCTATTAAGACTTTTTTTTTTGTTAGAGTCCAAGGGAAGTGGAGTTTAAAGCAACACTTAAGCCACTAAATCTTTGTTATGGCTATATGTAGATATGGATATTGATGTGACTTTCTATTACAGCTTCCTGTTTTAAACTAAGTTGTCCAACAGAATTTTTGTGTGCATTTCACTATAAAAATACTACAACTGTTCTAAAAATTACCTGTACAGATGCTATAAATTGGGCTATGGCTTTACTTTGTAGCAAACTAAGAACTTGTTTGAGGTAATGGAGCAGTTCAGCACTCACTGTTCCTTCATGTCTTAATGCAGTTAATGCAGTTTGACACAGTGTTAATTGCCATGGCATAATGCTGTGAAATCCTGGAAGTTGTAGTTTGATGAGGCATCAACAGAAAAGGATAAAGACCTTATAAACTACAACTCCCAGGAATCCATAGTATTGTGCCATGGTAGTTAAAGGTCTAAGCAATGGTCCTCCGCCATCAACTCCACTGGACCGGCCATGTTGTCCAGATGCCCAATGACCGTCTCCCAAAGCAGTTGCTGTACTCTGAACTAAAAAACGGAAACCGGAATTTGGTGGACAGGAAAAGAGATTTAAAGATGGGCTCAAAGCCAAGCTTAAAAACTCTGGCATAAACACTGAGAACTGGGAAGCCCTGGCCCTTGAGGGCTCCAGTTGGAGGTCAGCTGTGACCAGAAGTGCTGTAGAATTTGAAGAAGCATGAATGGAGGGCGAAAGAGAGAAATGTGCCAAGAGGAAGGCGCGTCAAGCCAACCCCAACCGAGACTGCCTTCCACCTGGAAACCGATGCCCTCACTGCGGGAGAAGATGCAGATCACGAATAGGGCTCCACATTCACCTAAGGACCCACCACCAGTACACCGATCTTGGAAGACAATCCTACTCGGACAATGAGGGATCGCCTAAGGAAGGAGTTAAAGTAGTGTCAGACTTGGTCGATTCTACAGTAGGTACATCCTAACTGTCCTGAAAAATAAACATATGAAAGAAAGTCTATTTGCCAATACAGTATTGGGGGTTAGAACAACAATAAGGTGTTACACGTGTGCCCTGTTGCCTTCGTCAAAACAATGGAGTGTACAGTATTCCACATTTCTCCTCGGTCCTATTGGTTTACTTCTCAAAAACCCATAAGAGATGTTTTGTTCTTTATTTGTTTTTAGGGTAAAAATATAATGGGAAATAATTTCCAACAAATAATTCAAGAAGAACCTTACTTGATGTTCCCAGCTTCAACTTCCACATTCTACTACATTGCCATACATGTATTATATATACTAATGTATCAATCAAAGGCAGGTTTTGGGACCAAATTGATGGACTTTGATCTTGCCCATGAAAGGGTAATTCTGCAGAGAGGAAAAAGCAGCTGCCCCACTCCAGCATGCTAGCCATTTTCCTACTGGTAATGCATAAGGAGCAAGATGCATTTGGAAGAATGCTATCTTGGCTGAACCTATACTATAGTATTAAAGCAGGGCAACACCATTTTAATTGCCATTGCTACATGCTATGGAATTGTGGAAGTTGTACTTTCACAAGGTCTTTAGGCTTTCTCTGCCAAATAGTTCTGGTGCCGCACCAAACTACAACTGCCATGATTCCATAACAATGCATTATAGCAGTTAAAGTGGTGTCCAACTGTATTAACTCTAAGGTATGGATACATTTCTTAATGATGTACAGCTTCTGATTCAACAGTAAACTTGACTGCAAGTAGCAGATGGATGGATAGTCTTAGTTCTCATGTGAGGGCTCACATAAGCATGTCCAAACCAAATGTGTGCGCATTAGGTAGGTACATAAAACCCATGCACACAGAAAAACATTGTGTATAGCATGTTAGGGAGAATGATAGACCAGGATGCTTTCTTCTGGCATCGTAGGTTTTTATGCAGAGGGAATATTTTTGTATGGAGAAGCAGTTTGTGTACCATTTGAAGTAGCACACTCTAGGTGTATCATTTTAGTGAACATTAGATTTCTGGAACAACAGTTTTGTCTACACTAGTTCTAAGTTAGGTTAATGTGATGCCCCTCATCTGGGAGTAGAAACTGCCTTAAATCCCCCTCTGGCATTTAAACAAAATTTTAATAATCCTGCAACACACTTTGCTATTGTTTTGCAATGAATATCTCAAGAGTCTCAACCAATTCAACCTAGTTTGTGGCAGCCACAAAAATCAAGTTTCTGGAGGTTAACTTGTTTTCCTGTGGATTTAGCCAATTCAGTACTACTACAGAGACAAATAATATTGGATATAAAAATGCATCAACCCTACCCAACTTCAGCAGGAAGCTCATTTTGCTCAATTTGTTTGTGTGTTTTTTTTTAAAAAACCAATAGGACAGTAATAAAGCCACTTTGCACATGATTAAAATAATATCTAGCCCTGTATATATTCTCCTTTGTTTAGCACATTATTTTGTAACAGACCTCAAAATCAAGATTCTAAAATGCCCTATTTCCATCTACATAAAGGATAGAAACTGAAGCCTATTGTACTATGTAACAAAATTTGATTTTTTTTCTATTTCTGGTTTGAAAGAGTTATTTCCTGTTTAATTGTAAAGTACTTATTTTGAAAGTAATTGATATTAATGGTCATGTAGAGAAGAAGACATCATTGTGTAACAAGGTGCATTTGCTGAAATTGTATTTTCTCAACTAATATTGGAGGTTTTTTTGTTTTTGTTTTTTGTCATGTCAGGAGCGACTTGAGAAACTGCAAGTCACTTCTGGTGTGAGAGAATTGGCCGTCTGCAAGGACATTGCCCAGGGGATGCCTGGATGATTTGATTTTTTTTCTCATCCTTGTGGGAGGCTTCTCTCATGTCCCTGCATGAGGAGCTGGAGCTGATAGAGGGAGCTCATCCGCCTCTCCCCAGATTTGAACCTGCGACCTGTTGATCTTCAGTCCTGCTGGCACAGGGGTGAAGTGTCCCTTTTTTGCCTTTGGCTCCAATGAATAGCACTTAGCCTACAAAATACTTATTAGCTTTGATGTTGCAAAATTCCTTATTAAGATACAATGGAATAGAAAACCTATCCATCTTCTATACACATAATGAAAATATATGTGTTTGTGTGGCTGGGGTATCCACTTAAAAAGACGAGTCCCTGCCTCCACAAACAGCTATAGCTCCCACTACTCAGGAGACACCAAAGGCCCTCCTTCCAATGACATTGCAGGTTATTGTGAGTGCTGTGAACAGGTACAAGACACCTGCCAATGTCTTCCACAAACACCGTACTGTCCACCACCCAAATGAAGGCTTTCATACAGGGACAATTTCGTCCTAGATTTTATGTGTTTCCTCCACCACAGTCATCCCAGTGTTTCTTACTCTCTCCATTGCTGTAGAATTTGCATGACCCACCCACTGTCTCTCCCTTAACACTTTTCTGATCTCTTCTATGGCACACAGCAAACAAAGGAATTGATCAGCAACTGAACATACTAGAGAAGTTTGGGGAGAATTCACCATGATTTATAGGAGTTGTAGGTACTGGGATGTATCATTTAACTGCAATCTAGGAGCACTCTGAACTTCATCAATGATGGATCTGGAACTAACTTGGCACACAGAACCCCCATGATGAGCCAAAAATACTGGAGGTCTTTGGAGGGATTTATAGGAGTTGTAGTTCACCTACATCCAGAGCGCACTATGAACCCAAACAATGATGGATCTGGACCAAACTTGGCATGCATACCCAATATGCTCAAATTTGAATACTGGTGGGTTTTGAGGGGAATTTGCCTGGACATTTTGGAGTTGTAGGTACTGGTATTTATAGTTCACCTGCAATCAATGAGCACTCTAAACTCCACCAAAAATGGAATTGGACCAAATTTGGCACACAGAGCCACCATGACCAGAAAAAATACTGGAGGTCTTGGGGAGAAATTCACCTTGATTTGGGGGAGTTGTAGTTCACCTACATCCAGAGAGCACTGTGAACCCAAACACCAATGGATCTGGACCAAACTAGACACATATACCTGATATGGCAACATTTGATTACTAGAGGGATTTGGGGGGAACTAATCTTCCTTTCTGGGAGTTGTAGTCAGGGCCGGCCCGTCCATTACTCGAAGTAAGCGGTCGCGGAATACTTTTTTTGCCAGGGGGCGCTGTTTTGTCCTTAGGCCACGCCTCCTCCTGCAGGCCCCATGCGCCCTCAACAGCCTTCTAATGGAGAAGCGCAGGCCCCGCCCACTAGGCGAGAGGGAAGTCCTCCCTCCACGTGCTGCCAGGAGGGAGGCAGCCAGCCAGGCTCTTTTGCTTTCCCTTTCCTTCCCTGCAGCTGAGCCTGGACCCCTCTCAGGGCAGCAAGGAGGCCTGGTCAAAAGGTACTGCAAATGTCATCTTTTGTACATGCCTCCCCCAAACCCCTCTAGTATTTGGTAATGGAAGTCCTATATGCCAAGCTTGGTTCAATTCTATTGTTGGTGGAGCTCAGAATGTTCTTTGGTGCTTGGTAAACTGCAATTCCCAAATGTCAGGGTCTATTTTTCCCAACCCCCTCTCCAGTATTTTCTGTTAGTCATGGAAGTCCTGTATGCCAAGTTTGGTTCAAGTTCTATTATTGGTGGAGTTCAGAATGCTCTTTGGTGCTTGGTGAAGCATTCTCACCTGATGTTTCACCCACATCTATGGCAGGCATCCTCAAGAGGCTGTGAGGTCTGTTTGTAACTAGGCAAGTGGGGTTTGTATATCTGTGGAATGTCCAGGGTGGGAAAAAGAACTCATGTCTGCTTGAGGTAAGTGTGAATGTTGCAATTGGTCATCTTGATGAGTATTTAATGGCCTTGCAGCTTCGAAGCCGAGCTAGTTGCTGCCCAGGAATCCTTTGTTGGGAGCGGTTAACTGGCCCTGATTGCTTCATGTCAGGAATTCCCCCCTTTTTTAGTGTTGCTCTTTATTTATTGTTCTGATTTTAGAGGGTTATTTTAGAGGGTACTGGTAGCCAGATTTTGTTCCTCTGAGGTTGCCTGCCATAGATGTGGGGAAAATGTCAGGAGAGAATGCTTCTGGAACATGGCCATACAGCCCAGAAAACTCACAGCAACTCAGTGATTCTGGCCATGAAAGCCTTCCACAACACATTATTATGTTTATTTATACCCTGCTTTTTCTCTCCCCAAGAAGACTCAAGTTGGCTTAGATTAAAAACATTTCAGTACAGTTTAAAATCCACAAATATGCAAACATTAAAATGGAATTAAATATCATTGGTATTTTAAAAATTCAGTTAAAATCCATAAAAAACATATCCAAAACTAAAAACTGCAGCAGACCCTG